CTACATACACGAAATTTACGTACAACAAGCGCTTAGGAAGCATTATGAAAGAAATCGCAAATAAAAAAGTTACAAGAATAGTCTTAAAAAGAGCTCCGAATTTGTACAGAATACTTAGAAATGATAAAGGGATAGTTAAAAAAGAGGATAGGTCAGGTGTATATAAGATCCCATACGAGAATCAGATGTTAGGAATAGATAAAGAATATGTTGGGGTTACTACTAGAAATCTAGGGGTAAGGATAAAAGAGCACAGATATGATGTGAGAAAAGGTTCGAATGCCACAGTATTGTCTCAAATGGCGCAAACGGAGGGTTCGATAGTAAGATGGAATGAAGCAGATATACTGAAACAAATACACTCCCCGACCTTGGCAAAAACGGCCGAAAAATTAGAAATTTATAAAAGCAAACTTAAAGGGAATTGCATCAACGCAAGGGATGCCGAGGGACTTCCTTCCGCATGGAAGTTTGCAGTTAAAAACTTCAAATAAGAGCAGGAGCTTTAATATTATGTATATAAAAAACTCTGTATAGTTTAGTTGAGAAACTCCGTACAGTTTATTAAGCATTATTAATATATAGTGTTATCGATTTGTCTATTAAGTTTGAAGTATTAATATTTTGTATACACAATTTATTTGTTATATTTTAATATTTTATTTTTATTTATAATTTTAGCAGCATTTGTATTAATTATATTATTTAAAAACGTTATTTTGCTGTTAGTAATATATTGGTTATCCGTTATTAATATTTATATTTTTTGTATTTTGAACTTGTTGTTCTATTTTTTGAAATGTTCTAATTTACCTGACGATGATCCATTGATTGGATTGAAAACGTTTGTGTTAAGAATAAATCTCTCAGCGAGTGAACAGGTGTTGATTTAGTTATAGTTTATTATTTTCTGCTGAGCACGCTTTGGGTTGTAATTTATAATTCACCATTTTATAAAATACATTTCTACGAAATTTTAGTATAAAACTTTATTTTTATTTCTTCCAAAAATCGCAACGGATCACGTGCCGCATTTCAGTGTACAGAGCTAAATGTCCTTAAGAACAGCTGTTGGTAGCCAATAGTATACACGGAAAACCGAACAAATATCATTTAAATTTAATACAGACAATTAAAATAGAGAAATCAGTTTTGACGAATAGTTACAGCATGGCCGCGTTTGAACATAAGCTAAAGTTTGGGCCTCTGTTTATGGCCTCAGACTTTTATGTGTATCATTGTTTGATGTAGGAATAAGGCCTATTATATGTTCTAGATTAGGGCCACAACAAGTCCCTACATGTGTACATCATTTACTAGATTTCCCCTTCAGTGCTTACGGGATGGAAGCGTTAAAAAGTAATCAGTAACAAAAAAAAAAACATTTAATTTTGATTTATGCATGACTGTTCAAAGTGAGCGTAATTTATTGCGTAAGTTCTTTTCGAGTAAAAAAAATTACAACTCGCATAATATATTTGTGTTTTGATCAATAATAAACATGCAATAAAAGTCACGGTGCACGCCGGTAACTCTGAGTGACTTGGTGGCATTTGATAGTGATGACAATTGTGCTGCTGCTTTGCATCGTTTTGTGCTTAACCCACTTGGGTCGAAGGTAATAACTTTACTTAAACTATTTTAAAATTCTATTATCAATAATTTAATAACTATATTGATAAATCAATTTAATAAGTTGTCGGAGTAAACTTAAGATGTCTAAAGACTAAAACTGCTTTCTTTTGTGCCCGTTGTAAGAAATCAATGTGTAATCAATTGTTTAACTAATAATTGGCTGCTATAGTTGACTGTTGCATTGTTTCAGTTTTTATGTGAAGTTTTCAGAAAGTCCTCGATGTAAAAGTGTAATATGGGAACAGAAACGCAAAGAAAACGCACTGTAAGAGGGAAATAAACGACATGTTTTAAATATTTTTCAATCCGATATTTTCAAAAAACCATTTTCACCTTGCGTCATTAGTGACGACTCATTTTTGTAAACACGTGGCAAAGTAAATATGGTGTGTTACGCGAGAAACACAAACAATTTTAAGCATTCCGGGTGGAACCTCGAAAATTACGAATTCGGTATCTATAGTAACTACTATTGGATGCTATTGTTTATATCGAAGTTTCGAGTATGCAACATAAATCTCTCGTTGTTATTAGATACATAAATCGAAAATATCATCGAAAGTAGTAATATCGAGACACCTGTTCTGTTGTTTTTTAAAATCACTTATAACGGAGTTCGTAAAATCGAATGATAAGAGTATTTAATGAGTGCATTTATGCAGGTGTCTCTGGCAGATAGTCTTTCCAACAACTTAACTATGGCAACTTAATTCTCTCGTTAATATAAAATTTTACCTGAACGTAACAAAGCCATATCGATTTTCCATTCTGTATATTTCTAGAATTTATTTTCTCAGTGTATAATTTAGTTATCATTCGATTTTAATTAACTGTGAAGTTATAAGGTCATATCGATTAAGTTCGAGCGGTGATTATTAATTGATGTCGTGTCGAGGTGATGAGAACAATTACACGTGAGCTATTGTATCATTATCATGCAAATAACTGTTCTATAACTTATTATTTTTTTAAACAATAGTATAATTGTAGCATTGTTAATTGCGGTTGTATTACACTTGCGTATCATTTGTAGAAACAGTAATTCTTTAGTTTAGATACTATCAGTCGATACTCGCATGTTGCGCCTAATACGTCGCGTGTTACTTTAAATGATGTTCAAAATAATATAGTATGTAAAAACTGGAGACTCAGAGAATAGATATTGGAACTTAAATGGGATCTGAACCCATGTCGATGAAAGCTCGAATACATAACTATTGTTTCGTATTGATAATTAGTGTTGAGAAATGCGTGAGGCTTTAACAATAAAGAAAACGGGAGAAAGGAACTTTATTAATTTATAAAAGGAATAGGAAATCGCTGTCGTTTTATGAATAGGGCAAGATATATGCGCGGGCATTCCTGGCACGTAATCAGGGCTTCATAAAAAGAAAGTAATAAAAATGAAACTAAAAGAGTGAGAAACGAAAGAATAATAAGGAATAATAATAAGGAATAATAAAGAAGGCTACGTTTATAGTAGAATCTTCACAAAGCCCGGCACAGAAATCTGTTTAGTCTGTTATTGTCATTAACTTCAGTATCCAATTTTCTGTGCCACGTAACAGATAACTGTAATAAAACTATAAAAGCAGTGCACAAATTTGTCTATCACATGTACGTTATTATGGAAAATTGTTTTAAATGCTGAAATTTTCTATTCATTTTGGTAGAAGTTATTCCTAAAATTGTTATACATACAGTCAGTTACTCTATAAAATAACCGAAGCGTTTGTAATTTATTACAAAAGGGCGTACATTTAAACGTTTAAAGTAGAAATTACTTTTAAATATCAATAAAACTATTGTTATATACTTGATTTTATCTATATTTTTATTAGAGTTGCAACAATAACATTAAGTATTTTCCATAAATTAAATTGCAAAATCTGGTAGTGTTTAACTTGTGATTACATAACAAAAGATTTCACTTAATAACAAACGTTACGTAAACGATCTCTAAGATTCTGCACACGCTCTCTGAGAGCTGCTTTGTGAGCCTCTGTAGTTGTTTAGCTTCCTTTCTTTTTTACAAATAAAATGAGCGAAATCTTTCTTGTTAATTAAAAGCAGTTTTACACATATTCATTGTTATTAAAACGGACATTGTAGGAGTAGGAACCACTATAGGCCCTTACGTTTTCTTCGAGTCGGATCTCCTGCTCACCTCGACAAGTCGGATAACGTTTTACAGTTAAAAAATAAATAACTTTTCTAGATATTTTAACACTTAGAATTGATGTTTCGCCAATGAATATTTCTTACTTAGCATTAGTAATAAAAAGAAGTTATTTATAAATCCATTTATGAAAGTAAAGATTGTTTCTTATCTAGTATTGCTACCACTCTTCGTCTTTAACTTATGCTTGCTAGCCCCGTTATGAGTCAGCTAGAATAGTTGTAGGATGAAGAACGGTAATTAAAGATGTGTATGAACGAAACATTACCATATAACACATTATATTATAAATGAAACTAATTCACAACGGGGTCTGCCTCATCGGTAATACAACATAAATGTGTTGCTCTCTGGCATTAAAATAATAAATTAAATCGATTGGAATAGAATAATAGTTATGTATTGTTCTTAGCTCTATAAATACGAAATTAAAATGAGTAATCAATTTATATTAATTTTAGTGTCGAATTGGATCGCAGTTGGATGAATATAATACCTCCTGATTACGATAATTACGCGCCTCCAATTGTTGACGGTAAGAATATATTTATAATTATCATCTTTTAATTGGTACAAACACTGAGCAGATGTTGAAACCGAGTTTTTACACTTCTTCTGGTTGCAAGAGAGAAATTTTAATGCTTCTAGAAGGTAGACCGTCCTAGATAAGACGGAGTCACGACGTATCACAGATTGTAGGGCCCTACGTAACTGGGATGTGTCGGGTCCTGTCTCTGCGTTCTATCGGGCCTGTTCGTAATAAATTCCACAATAATTTAAAATCATCAAAATTATAAGCATAAATCGGAACCATTAAGAAGTGCCCACCAATTGTCAAGCTGATAACACTAGTCTTAGGCTGTTCCTTGAACAAGGGCTACCACATGTAGTTTTTCGGATTTTCTTCACTCCACGGACTTAAAAACAGTGATCAGTTTCCCATAGAAATTACTCACAGGAAGTACTCTTTTTTTAGCAGATTGCCCATGTGTTGCGTTGTTGCGTTGCTGTATTCCATGAAACCAAAACAAACTATTAAGTATTACTCGCGTGCACTTGCTTCATAATAATCGGTATGATTTTATATAATGATTTTTAATATGTACCAAGCTTTATAAATACATTAAGTTAGAATAATTTGTTTGCTTTTTAAACGATATGAATTTTATGATTTCTAAATTTACGTCTATCAGTTTGAAAAGCATAATCAGATATTGATTAAATACAAGTGCAGCACTAAATAATACCATTGCGTGACGAAATGTCATAATTTTGTATATTATTAAGATATTATTGAAATAAAATTTTATACGTGATTTATATAATATTTTAAATTTATAAATTGCATATAATAAGGCCACTCAAAATTGAAGATGAAAAATGTATTATGTGGAGTTCGATCGGAAATTGAGGGGGTAGGACTGATGTAACAGATACTATACCAGTATATACTAACTAAACGAAACACCCCAACATCAAAGACAGGCAACGTGAATAGCTGCTGCCCTGCCAAATAACGACGTGCAATAGCGTAGCGGTTTTTACTTATTCCACATGTTAATATTATTTCTAATATATTAATGTACAGGTGACAATTAATTGACGGAAACCTAATGTCAAACATGGGAACTTTTTATACACTAATAAATTCTCAAAATTGGCATTTCGTGTATTAGAATATATAGTATTTGGATGTAGCTGATATCTTCTCCATTTGAAAATCCATGGGGATGAATGATTTGATGGGATATGGCAATGCAACACACGAGCGATCTGCCAAAACTAACCCTCTCGATAGGACTTTGTATTTAGGTTTTAGACGCGCCAAGGAAAAACCTGGATAAACTTCATATTGTCAGCCCACAGTTAAGGAGCGAACCCGCGACCAACCGCGTGTTGAGTGGTTTCATCCACTTTGTCACAGCAGCACGCCGAAGATAATTTTTAGACCCACGTATTATAATTTAATTTGCAATAAATTTGAGATAATTTTTATTATCAGTTCTGTGAATCGTATGCCAATTTATAAATGATATTAACATAATTCAAATTAATCTATTTACTTTCAGGTAAACCTGTTACTGTTTATATCAATTTGGAAATCATGGATGTGGATGAAATACGAGAGCAGACAATGGTAAATGTCACGTCATTGCTGTTGTGTTCTGACGTTAATATTAGCATATACATAAAAATACATAGAAATATTTTTTCACTTTCAGGACTTTCGTATGTTCTTCTTTTTGAATGCGTATTGGACAGATCCTAGATTGAAACTCGAAGTTCTTAATTTAACATTGTCAAAGATACTTCCTCCTTCCGCAGATGACACTCTGTGGGTTCCGGATTTGATGTTTGACAACACTAAATGGGGTCATCTTTTCCAATATTCCATTCCGAATACTTTCATTTTAATAACTAAGGATCTTATCTTTCGAAAAAGCACAAGGTAAGATTGAAATGAAAGATGTGCTTATAAGTAACACACGAAAGCTCAACCGTAACTTGATAGGTGCCAAAAGAAAAGAAGGCAAAAAATAAAATTTCGCACAGGAACACGTGAAAAACTAGTAACGACACTGCAGGTAAATAAGCAATCCAAGAGCATAGCTGTTTCGTAGTTTGGTTACTTGCCTGCTTGCCAGTTAAAAATAGTTAAACTTAGGCTATTAAATTATATTATAGATAAGAACTTTTACTATTGTTTAAGGTTGCAGATAAAATTATTTATATAGAAGTATTGATAGTTTAGAGAAAAGAAACCAATTTTAAGGCTGCATCTAAAAATTTATTCTTCATTGTTAGCTGGAGTTATGACAGAAAACATGGGTCTTCTGTCAGACTTTAATAATAATAATAAAATCCAGCAACGAGTTGAGTAACTTTCCGTACAGTACATTTAAAACTGCTGTGGCGCCATCTGATTTGATATTTTATAAAATCTTTTATATAGAAGTATTGATAGTTTAGAGAAAAAAACAATTTTAAGGTTACACCTAAGAATTTATTCTTCATTGTTAGCTGGAGTTATGACAGAAAACATTAGTCTTCTGTCAGACTTTAATAATAATAATAAAATCCAGCAACGAGTTGATTAACTTTCCCTACAGCATCATTTAAAACTGCTGTGGTGCCATCTGATTTGATATTTTATGAAAAACTTTTATACTAATAATTAAAATATGAACTTTTCTATGATCAGTTTTGACCTATCACTATACTTTCCCTCTGTTAAATATAACAGTAAGGAATGTAATAATGACAAAAACACAGGTCGTATTTATATTTTAAGATTTGACCAAGTCATTAAGTTTTATTTATTTTAAATTTCTGAATACAGCATTTTCTCTTTTTGTCTTCATTAATTCATCATACTATATTTAAGATGGAGTCTTAAGAAATGTAAATTTATAAATGAAAAACAATTTGTTCTAAAAAGTAGGACGTTCTGAATGTTTTTGAAGCTTCAACTAAAACAAGTAATAAATTTTATTATTCAAAATGATAAATACATAATTTTTCTTCCAATAGATATAGCTTTCGTGTGGCATGCCCTATGGATTTACATCGTTATCCCCTTGATATTCAAGACTGCGTATTTAAAATTGGTTTGTGTAAGTAAATTTAATAATTAATTTAACGTGTATTTACTATGAATCATGATAATGTGGACTAGTGACAACGAAATACATTATATAAACGCCGGGCACAGATATTTTAAAATATATGGAGAAAGCCATATATAATACGAACAGTTATATTTCTCTAATTGCAATTAAAGCTAAATATTTATTATGTAATTTGGCAGGTGGCAGGCTGCAAGACCACCATCTCTTGTTAAATGTAATAGGCGGCCCCGGAGTCATACCTCCTACCAAACTGCTTATTAATTATTTAACATTAATAGCCCAATGAACGAGTTCAGCTTTTCGTTTGATATTTAAAAGAATTATTGGGTTATTTGTATTTACTGTATTATAAAATGCCATATATTTGAGTCATTAAAAGTGTAATATTTATGTGTTAATCGTACATTTTTTCGAGATTAACACATAAACATTAATGTTGCCCTGAACAACAGGAATCTATTTTATTGTACAAGTGTCTTGCAATATACAGTACTTTCGACTTGCAACTTTTATACCTGAATTTATTGTTATAGATTTCAATTGAAGATATGAGAAAGTCAAGTATTATTTTTAAAACAAGCTTTAATACTAAATTTTTTGTATTATATTCTGTTATTGTTATGAATTTAATTCAGTTGTATATTTTATTATAATTCCGAATATATATATTTAAACTTATCAAGTCAACAAATTGAATATTTTCTAGTAGAATTTTTCTCGCAGTAAACTAATATGTAGTTGAATAAGTACAATAATATATTTATAGTAGTTATATAAAATTTTATTTGAAAATTCCATATTTGTGTTCTATACTAATGGTATTCCCTGTCTATTATTCAATTTTTTAGTAAAAAATACTGCGGAAAAGGTACGCCTGGAATGGTGTGATGTTGACGATAGTCCATGTAAGCACTATGGGCCAAGTATTTATCTATTGGAAGACATACAGCCATTGAAACACGAGATGAAGTTACCCAAACCTCGTAGCAAAATCGAAGTTTGGACGAGTGGAAAGTTTTGTTACAAATTACTTATAAAACTGTATTATTATTAGTTTTATAGAGATAATTCTTTTTGTTTACAGGTAATTACAGTTATCTGTATGCGAAATTTATATTCATTCGGCGTTTAACGGGTAGTATACTCAATGTTTACTTGCCAAGTACTGTAGTAGTAACCCTGTCCTGGCTATCATTCTGGTTAGATGTGAATGCAGTTCCCGCTCGTGTTACGCTCGGTGTTACCTCTGTTCTTACCATCATCACTCAAATGCTGCAGTCTAGATCGTACACTCCGCCAGTGGACTATGTAAAAGCTGTGGATATTTGGCTGCT